GAGAAAAAAGCAAAAGAGGGGTGGTGGAATCTCCATGACTCCTTGAGCTAGAAAATTGTAGAGGCCCCACCCAGGCCTCTACAATTCTACAAGGTTGTCTTCATTGGTCAGGGTGGCCATTTGGGGTTGGCCTCTCTCACCCTGGAATCAGATAGCTTTTGTTTCTTATTGCCTGGAAATAGCTCTGGTTGTATGAGATCATGGTGCTGGTCAGATGGTTCATTGATACTGAGTTGTCTCTTGTTTCTACTTTCTAGTGGTTCTTACATGGGTGTCTGTGATTGGAGGATAAAGTGTTTTAAGCTTTCTCCTCAATTTTTTGGTTGTGATGGTTTGATCAATGGTTTCCTATTTGGGGGTTGACTGAGGAAGGGAGTCTAAAGGTTGGGGGGAGAAAATCAGTGTGATTTTTATTTCTGTGTCCTCTGGTTCATGAAGGTTAAGAGTGTTTAGAATGGTTGGATGTTGGTGTGTTATTATATTAGAGGATGATGGTTGTTGGAGAGTATTGGTTTTAGGGTTTTTGGGTTGTTGGCCTGGAAAATGTGAGTGAATTTGTAGAGCTTAAAGCTAGCTTGCCTTCTAGGTTTTCTTTGGGGGGTGTGATTTGATGGTTGGAATTTATGGAGTGTTGATTGGATGGTAGTTGAGAGGTTTTAGAGTCGATGAGGATCGATGTGAGTTTGGCAGTAGATGGTGATGGAGAGTTATCAGGCCTAGGCATTGAGTTGGGGGTTGGAGAGTCAGAGTTGGAGAAGATTCAATGGCTTTGAGCCACTCTCCATAAGCTCCTTCCCTTAGTTTCCCTGCATCCTATCTTGCACTATTTTTTCACAATTTTTGTCAAGATGCACGATGATTCCGCAGTAATGGCATATGTTGACTAATCGCTCATAGTTGAATTCAATAATAGTCTTTTTATTGTCCAATTACAAAGAGGCATACTTGAGAATTGGTCGCTCAATGTCCATAGCTAAACCATTCTGAGGCATTTTCCAGCTAATACCCCAGTTTGGGGAATGGAAACATTTTACCCGTTTGAAAGCTGTGCCAATTTTTAGACCCACTTCTATTGAGTTCTAGTGGATAGGTCCATGCTTGCACCCATATATCCAATTCTTTGAAGCTTTCATGTTGGCTTTTGATGTCCTCTGACCAATCTCGAAGGATAAGGTACTGGTTATCAAAAAGCCAGTTAGTTCCTTTCTGTACTTTGGGTTTGTCTTCCATGTTGATGAATATGAATTGGAAATAGTTCACGCTGAGATCTCGGATTGTCATGGGCACTTGGATCAAATTTGCTTAAGGGCTCTCTTGAGTCCAAGCAGATGGACTTTTCGTTGGCCAATCACCTTGCCAAAAATACTTCTACTACATTCCTCTTTACTGTTTTGAATGTCCTCATAAATGAGGGGGATGATGTTCGCTTCTTTGTCCGACAACTGAAATTCGCCCAATTTCCTGGTTATGTCGTCTTCTTCCATGGATCACACTGATTCACTGCTTATTGAGAAGCGAAATATAGGCTGCTCGTTTTCCACTTGAAACCCTAGCACATAAATCAAAAGACAGAGAACGGGAAAGGTGGAGATGTTAGATATAGAATGAGAGAAACGTAAAAAAAGCTTAAAAATAATGGAGAGGAATGACACTTCTATTAGAGAGAATCTGGCCTTGCTGCTAGGAATTGAGCTCGCGAGGGAGAATTATCGCCCTCAAGGAAGGGAATCTTAATCCCCAAGCGTGCATCTGGATAATAATCTTCTCATATAGCAAAACAATAAATTGCTCCTTTGACAATTTCGTTTTCAACAAAAAATCTTCTAATATACCAAACATAAACTAATGAATAAATATTGAAAACAGAAAAGATGTACTCACGGCTTTTGGGAAAAGCAGGGACGACAAGGAAGCACTAAAAGTGACATTCATCAGTGAGTCATAATGTATGTAACACCCCGCCTAATTATTCTAGAATTTATAAAATCAGAGTAATATTTTTGCTTTTTATTTTCGAAAAACTCTTAAACTTTATTTTCGAAAATACTCATACTAACTCGCGGGATGCTACTAACTTAAACTCTTTCTCATGCAGACGTAAATAAATAAATGCAACCTAATCAAATCCGTTATGTAAAGGTACCACGGAGATAAAGGCATTATACATGCATAAGTCTGATAATCTCATAATACATACTAAGTCTGAAATGTGCGGAAGCTGAAACATAATATGTCTACGCATAGTAATAATAGTACATGTTCAATAAATGACATGTAGATGCGTTACAAAAAGACTGCTAATGACCACGACCACCACTGAAATCTCACGCACCACGCGCCGCTCCGTCACCTGAAAAACGTAATGGGGGCGTGAGCAAAACCACTATGCTCTGCAAAGACCAGTACTTAATTATATAGCATCGTTAATAACAATATCATGACTTTAAGTATATAAGAACTGATCGGAACTGAAACTGTAACTGGGGCATATGGTGGTCATAAAGACCCTGGGCTTAAAAGCCAATCATGTGCACACTCCGGGGGATCATTAAGGCCAATTAAGGCCTCCCTCAGAACCACGGGGGATCATTAAGGCCCGCCACGGCCTCCCTCATGATGATATAACTATTTCTCATACATACCTCGGACATGGTACGGAAATTAAAGACGATGTATATCCAGTACGTGACCCCCACCTGATAAACTGC